CTGAGTCAGCACAGTTTTGTCAAGGGAAGTTCATGCTTGACAAGTTTGGTTAGAATTCTTTGAGGAGACAACAAGCAGATTGCACAAAGGACAGCCAGTGGACATGATCTACTTGGATTTCCAGAAGGCCTTTGATAAGGTGTTGTACAGGAGGCTGCTAAGATATGAACCTATGGTCTTAAGGGCAAGGTACAGCATGGATGGGGGGATTGACTGACTGGTAGAAGGCAGAGAGTGGGTATAAAGGGGTCTTTTTCAGGATGGCAGCTGATGACTAGTTCTGCAAGCTCCATTTTGAGATTATTAACTTTCAAAGCAAGAATAGAGGCACAGACTATTCTTTAAATGGAGAAAGATTTCAGAAATCTGAAGCACAAGGGGTATTGAGTCCTAATTTCAAGGTTAACACGTTGGTTCGATCTATCTAAGAAAATGTTTCTGCAAATGGGAGAGACCCAAGGGCAGAGCCTTACAGCGAAGGCACTGTCGTTTAAAACTAAGATGGGGAGGAATTTTTCAGACAGAGGATAAATAATCAGTGAAACTCATTGCCAAAGGTGGCTGTGAAAGCAAAGTTATTGAGTGTATTTAAATCATAAACAGGAAGGTTCTTGATTAGTAACAGTTACAGGGAGAAGGCAGGAGAATGGGGTTGAGAAACATCAGCCACGATTGAAAGACAGAGGACACTAATGCTGCTCCGAGGTCTTACTGTCTTATGGATGCATTCCAGCCTCTGCAGGGCCACTGGTCTCAAGTCCTTTATCATGCTGGTGAGTACCACATGCTCCTTCTTCAGAGACACTCATGCACTGATGTGGCTGCAAAGATGGACAGACAGTCAGGAACAATGAGCCCCTCAAAAGGTCCACTGCCTGTACCTGTTGATAGCCACCTAAGCCAGACCCAGGAGCAGACAAGAAGGCCCTCCAAGTTGTCAGTCTCTCCCCACACCAGGTGCCCATAATCATGGCTGTGGGACTGAAGAACAACCGAAACCTAAGCAGCAGCCCTTTCAAAAAGCTTAAAAAAATTGGGGCTGTCACCAGAAGCATTTTACATAGATATGAAAAGCTGTTTCCTCCAGGTCACAAAACTACATGTGGCCCAGTGAACTTAATCTACAACTGCACAGGACTGCCAGGTGCAGCACTCACACGCTACCGTGGATTCCCGACGGAAAAGGGTAGAACCCTGTTGTGGAATGCCCGGCCATGGGACGTCCATGGCCAGAAGGCAAAACAAGATACACCAAGGCACATCCAAGTGGCAGATGAAGGTAGGCAAGTGGAGATGGTGCTCCTGCACATTGTACAAGAAATACCTCTGTGCCATTCTAAAGGGCATAAGGAGGACCTCCCCGAGACAGCTCAGACTGTGGGGCGCCATATCCGGGAGGAGGGTCCAGTGAGTGGGGCTGATTTTGAGTCCCATACAGGGGTCATTTCATCCACCACAAGCCAAAGATGCCTTGATTTCACATGAGACTTTACGGCAGGGTACTTCAATCAGGTGCTGGATGACTCAGGTTACAAACAGGATGTTGACTGATGACTTTTTGGCCAGCTGTACTGACATCATCCAGCATGCTTGTCTGTCATTCAACACATCCCCAACTCCGGTCAGCCCAGCATGGAGCCCTCCTGTCCGTCAGCCAGCAGAAACCAAACCATGCTAACAGAGGAAGCTGTTCCTGAGCAAATGCTCCTTTAAGACAGCCACCAGTCCAGGAGGGAGAGCACTGAGAGCCGACCATGTCCTAGAGTTTGATCAGGTCCAAGTAAAAGACGGGTAATTCTCACAAGAGGAAGAAGGCAGGACCACTCCACGAACAGGAAGTGTGCGCTGTATTTCTTCTGTCACGTGCTCAATTACATCACCAGGGCATTCCACATTGGAGGTGGCTTGAAATAAAAAAGGTATCGCTACAGATTCTGAAGGTGGAAAGTCACTACCTGGCTGTGGAGGCACAGCAGCACCTGACACCACCCCTACCTTTAACATCTCAAAAGGGAGGCTCAGAACATCAGCAGCAACCCAGTGATAACAATAGCGTGGAGCTGGAAGAACACGGCAGGCCAGGCAGCATCAGAGGAGTGGGAAAGTTGACGTTTCGGGTCAGGACCTTGTTCCTCCAGCTCCACACTTATCTCTGACTCCAGCATCGGCAGTTCTTACTATCTCTGAGCAGCAACCCTGTGCTGCCTTTGGTCTCAGAAAATGAGTGCCCGCATTCTCCACTCCCTTATGGGATTTGGTTAGCTCAATTGGCTAGACATTTGGTTCAAAATGCAGAGTGGTGCCATGAGCATGGGTTCAATTCCTATACTGGCTGAATAGTGATCATGAAGGAGCTGTCTTTTCAACCTGTCCCCTTGCCCGAGGTCTGCAATTAAACCCCCAGAAGTCCAATGGTCCTGTGGGACTACGGCGACTTTACATTTAGGCGGCATGGTGGCTCCGTGGTTAGAACTGCTGCCTCACAGCTCCAGGGGCCCAGGTTCCATTCCCCCTCGGGCAACTGTCTGTGTGGAGTTTGCACATTCTCCCCGTGTCTGCGTAGGTTTCCTCCCACAGTCCAAAGATGTACAGGCTTGATGGATTGGCCATGCTAAATTGCCCGTTGTGTTCAGGGATGTGTAGATTAGATGGGTTTGGGGAATAGGTCTGGGTGGGATGCTCCGAGGGTCGGTGTAGACTTGTTGGGCCGAAGGGCCTGTTTCCACACTGTAGGGATTCTGTGGATTCTATGAAAAACTCAATGATCTTTTTCTGTTTGATCAAACTTTCTACACTGTGCAACAACAGTAACCATCAGGAACTATAAGTATTGATTAAAGGTGGTGAAAATGGATGAGATATACAAGTGTATGAACAATATTTGTACTTATTTTACTCATTTAATTAACCTCCCACCCATGGTATTTGGCGTACTGTAGTCCTACATCTAGGTGGGACACCATTGAGGGGAGATAGAGGGCCAACAGCAATCATGGTACCAAGGTAAATTCAATTTAGTCTCATGCAGTGAGCATGTGCATTTACAATGTTGCCTGGCCTGAATATTTCTAGTGTTTTTTGTTTCTCTGAACCTTTTGTTCCTTGAATTCTTAGCACCATGGAAAAGCTGTCAGTTTAAATTACCTACATTTTCCATGCATAATTTCCTTGAATAATTAAACACTGATAAAATGGGGCTGATTTTACAGATTTCTAAAACAAAATTAAGAATATCATGTTCAATTGACTACTTGGTCATAGAACTGGAGGAATATGCTTATTTGAAGGTTTTTTCAAAAAAACAATGAAATAATAACTTATAGCCTGTTAAAGATATAATAATTGGGAAATGGCTGTAAATCCCGATGAGGTCAATAGCTGTTTGTCTAACTTGTAAACTGATTGGGTTCACCTATCATCAAAGGCCATCAATAACCACATTAAACATAGGTACGTTGAAAGAAAACAGCAACAAATGCCAAAACCAAAAGCAACCTCCTAATGAAACTGGTGCATCTACAAGGGATGCTGCTGCCAGACTGCTACAATTACCCTACTATGTTCCACAGAAGATTACAGTGCACCTGTCTGGCAAAGACCAATGCACACACTTCTGTATGCTACTCAGTTGAAAGCGACAGTGCATATTCTAACTGGAACCCTCTGTTCGACACCTTATCCCTGGCTTTCCGTCTACATAAACATTACTTTCCCACACACCAATTAATTGGCAAAAGTCCCCAAGCTGGTTCATCTCATGCTGTACTTTACAGATAGTCTGATCAACACACCTATTTCGGCTCTACCATCTTGGCAACTCATCTGCAAACTTCCTCAGCAAGATCTACCACCAGACAAATGAAAAAGTACAGGCAACCACTGATTGAGATTTCTTGCAAGAAATCTCATCGGCCTAATGGACAGCTTGAGAAAGGTGATCCTTGCTGAACAGGTTCAGGTCAAACCAGGCCCCCTTAGCAGTAAACAACCGCAGAGGCCTCACTACAATTCCCTTGTGTTCTAAATGGGAGACATGATGCTTTTGCCTTGTCTGGGAAATGTTCCTCTCTACAAACTAAGTAGTGCATAAGTCTCAAAGCTCCATAAAACAGAAATTTGCTTAAGTAATAAAGACTACATTAAAAACAATTATTTGGTACATTAATAGGATCATCCTTATTCTTTATCTTTGGTTTGACTGGTTAGCTTCATTACTACCTACAGTCTTCAATCATTACTCGTCTTAAAGAGCATTTTAAAATGTTCCATGCTCAGGCCTCTATTACAGAGATTGTAAAGATATCATTTAGATTGGGTTGGGGGGGCGTTGGGGAGGGTGCAGTCTGTGATGACCGATTCATTTGAAATGGGATTCTTCAAACAAAATAGTTGGAGAACTACTGACCAAGGTTAGCTACGCAGTCTGACAAGTAGCAGTGCAGGAGTTGAGGAGTGATCTAATTAATCTGGTTTTATTATTCATTCATAGGACTTGATGTTGCTCATCTTTAATTGCTCTGCCTAATGTAAAGGTTCAGATTAAACAAAAACAAACCAAATTAAAACAGGAGTACTTCGTATAACAAAAATGTCTTATTTGATTAATCCAATAATGGATTTGACAGGTATGTTTCCAAGTGAAGTTTCAGCTGAAACATTTGAGAAAATACGTTCATTTCATTCCTTAGGTAAAGGGGAGTAAACTACAATTGATTTCACTAAACTTTTTTCTTTGGGACAAGTATGGCATTAGGTCCTGGAAAATGAAAGCTTTTCCAATAAGCCTTTCTCCTTCACAACATAACTCCAACACTTGGGAACACTAAGTCTTATTCAACAAAGTTTCCACTTTTGCAACATTCAACTACTCCTCCCACTAAGGGCTCCCAAACATACTTTAGTTTATAACTTATAGCATTGTATTATGCCAAGATGTCAGAAAGCTACACAAATTATTCTACTTTGTGTATGCTATTCCTAACTTTTTCTCTTCAGCTTACCTCACTCGGCGAGACAGTTCCTGCTTCAGAACCCACAGCACGCAACTTCTAACAAAAAAATAAAAATAACTTGTTTTGTATAAATATCAAACCAGTGGAAAATACATGCAAAGTATTCGCAAGTTTAAAAATCCCAATTTGTAAAACCAATCATGCACTGCATCAATGTCACAATGCCTCAAAGCACTATTATCTTTGAAGCTCAGATAAATCAACCGTCAGTTGATTTATGTGACAGTTATGATTCCTGCTCAATGCACTAGTTTGTGAATGAAATTCACTTAGAAAGGGTCAAAGACGGCATAGAAATTAATCGTAGTCAATGAGTAAAACATATACACACTGCTCTATGACTTAAATAGGAAATATGCCCAACAGAAGTCAAATGTGTGATTTTCCAACTTTAATAATAAGCTGCTCCCTTGAAAAATGTCATTCACAATAAAATTTGTAAGTAACTTGCAATACAAATTAGAGAACAATACTTTTCATTTTAAGTTTTTAAGACGAGGATTCCAAATGATTTCTAAGGCTGGAAGCAGGTCATCCAATCATGGGCAAGGGATGTCGCTGAGCCTTCCAATAGCCTCTGACAGTAATTACAATTCCTTCATTCCCCAGAGTCCTCTGTATATGACACACCAGGACTGACTGGTACATACATAAAACACAGTCATACAATGAAAACCATGCTAACAGAAGAAACAATGCAGAACAAACCATCTGTAGCCTTAAGCAATACTTGCACTTCCTAAATAAAAACTGAAAGAACTGCAGATGCTGTAAATCAGGAACAAAAACAAAGTTGCTGGAAAAGCTCAGCAGGTCTGGCAGCATCTGTGAAGGAAAAAAAACAAACAGTTAACATTTCAGGTCTGGTGACCTGAGCTTTTCCAGCAACTTTATTTTTGTTTTTCCTAAACTGCTCTGAAGAAACCATGTCATACCTTATTGAGCACATATCAAATAGATAGCATCATGCTGCACAGTGCCACCATCTGAGGAACAGCCCTTACCACCATTTATCAAACAGGAGGGGAAGGCATTTATGGCAATAGGGGAAGGAGTGGTGGAGAGTTACAAGTGTTGTAGGAAGCAGCAGTAGACAAGCATCAAGATGAGAAGCTAGATCAACAATCCCTCTTTTGCCTGAACTTCAAATGTAAAAAAGATAGTTCACGAGTGGAAGCATTCCACATAGGCTGATCACCATATCCCCCTTTTTCAGACAACACAAAAATAAAAACCATTAAAACAATGCATACACAAATTCAAACTTTTTTCTAAAAAGCACACCTTCACCAACACTTGTTGCCAGTTACCTCAGTCAGCTTGGTAGACAACTCTGATTCAATTCCAGTTCCAGCTGCGAGACACTTAAGGCCGCTGACGGCGACACAGCCCCGCCCACCGCCTCCACAGCCAGCAGCTCCAGAGGAGACAGCAACACTCAGCCCTGCCGAGTCTTCACTATGCCCCCAGACCTCCCCCTTTCTGAGGACGAATGGTCAATCCTCAGTAAAGGACTCACCTTTGTTCCCCTCCACCCACACATCAACAAATACCGGTCACGTTTGGACATTGAGCAGTTTTTCCACCGCCTCCGCCTCCACCTCCACCTCCACGCTTACTTTTCAACCGTGAGCCTAACCCTCCCTCTACGGACCCCTTCTCCCACCTCCAACACACCCCCTCCTCCTGGACACCACCCCAAGGCCTCCTACCCTCCCTCGACCTCTTCATCTCCAACTGCCGTCGTGACATCAATCGCCTCAACCTCTCTACTCCTCTCACCCACTCCAACCTCTCCCCCGCAGAATGTGCAGCCCTCCACTCCAATCCCAACCTCACCATAAAACCTGCGGACAAGGGAGGCACAGTTGTAGTATGGCACACCGACCTCTACGTCGCCGAGGCCAGACACCAACTCTCGACACCTCCTCCTACCGCCCCCTTGATCGTGACCCCACCCCCGAGCACCAAACCATCATCTCCCAAACCATCCACAACCTCAATCACCTCAGGTGACCTCCCACCCACGGCCTCTAACCTCATCGTTCCCCAACCCCGCACCACCCACTTCTATCTCCTTCCCAAAATCCACAAACCTGACTGCCCTGGTCGACCCATTGTCTCCGCCTGCTCCTGCCCCACCGAACTTATCTCCACCTATGTCGACTCCATTTTCTCCCCCTTGGTCCAGGAATTCCCTACCTACATCCGTGACACCACCCATGTCCTCCACCTCCTCCAGAACTTCCAATTCCCCGGTCCCCAACACCTCATCTTTACCATGGGCGTCCAGTCCCTATACACCTGCATTCCCCATACAGATGGCCTAAAGGCCCTCCGCTTCTTCCTGTCCCGCAGGCCCGACCAGTCCCCCTCCACTGACACCTTCATCCGCTTAGCCGACCTTGTCCTCACCCTCAACAACTTCTCTTTCAATTCCTCCAACTTCCTACAGACAAAGGGGGTGGCCATGGGTACCCGCATGGGCCCAAGCTATGCCTGCCTCTTTGTAGGTTACATGGAACAATCCCTCTTCCGTACCTACACTGGCCCTCAACCCCACCTCTTCCTCCGTTATATTGATGACTGTATCGGCGCCACCTCATGCTCCCACGAGGAGCTCGAACAGTTCATCCACTTCAACACCTCCCACCCCAACCTTAAGTTCACCTGGACCATCTCTAACACCTCTCTCACCTTCCTGGACCTCTGTCACATCTCGGGCAACCACCTCGAAACCGAAATCCATTTCAAGCCCACAGACTCCCACAGCTACCTAGAATACACCTCCTCCCACCCACCTTCCTCAAAAAAAAAAAAAAAATGCCATCCCCTATTCCCAATCCCTTCACCTCCACCGCATCTGCTCCCAGAATGAGGCATTCCACTCCCGAACATATCAGATGTCCTCGTTTTTCAAGGACCGCAACTTCCCCCCCCCGCCTCAGTGGTCGAGAATGCCCTCGACCGTATCTCCCGCATTTCCCGCAACTCCTCCCTCACACCCTGTCCCCGCAATAACAACCAAAAAAGAATCCCCCTCGTCCTCACGTACCACCCCACCAACCTCCGGATCCAATGCATCATCCTCCGACACTTCCGCCATCTACAATCCGACCCCACCACCAAAGACATTTATCCCTCCCCACCTTTATCTGCTTTCCGGAGGGACCACTCTCTCCGTGACTCCCTTGTCCATTCCACACTCCCCTCCAGCCCCACCACACCCAGCACTTTTCCCTGCAACCGCAGGAAGTGCTACACCTGCCCCCATACCTCCTCCCTCACCCCCATCCCAGGCCCCAAGAAGACTTTCCACATCAAGCAGATGTTCACCTGCACATCTGCTAATGTGGTATACTGCATCCACTGTACCCGTTGTGGCCTCCTGTACATCGGGGAAACCAAGCGGAGGCTTGGGGACCGCTTTGCAGAACACCCATGCTCGGTTCGCAATAAACAACTGCACCTCCCAGTCACGAACCATTTCAACTCCCCCTCCCATTCCTCAGACGACATGTCCATCCTGGGCTTCCTGCAGTGCCACAACGATGCCACCCGAAGGTTGCAGGAACAGCAATTCATGTTCCGATTGGGAACCCTGCAGCCCAATGGTATCAATGTGGATTTCACAAGCTTCAAAATCTCCCCTCTCCCTGCCGCATCCCAAAACCAGCCCAGCTCGTCCCCGCCTCCCTAACCTGTTCTTCCTCCCACCTCAAGCCTCACCCCCATCTCCTACCTACTAACCTTATCCCGTCCCCTTGACCTGTCCATCCTTCCTGGATGGAACTACCTCCTCCCCACCTACACTCACCTTTACTGGCTCCATCCCCGCCTCTTTGACCTGTTTCCTCTCCACCTATCTTCTCTATCCACCTCCCGCTCCCTCTCTATTTATTTCAGAACCCCCTTCCCCTCCCCCATTTCTGATGAAGGGTCTAGGCCCGAAACATCAGCCTTACTGCTCCTATGATGCTGCTTGGCCTGCTGTGTTCATCCAGCTCTGCACTTTGTTGTCTCAGACACTTAAGGCCTAATGCTTGCCCTGCCAAGTATGCAAGGCAATAACAAACAGCCACTGACAAAAAGTGCCGTGAAAATGGCACCGAATGCAATATCAGTAGTCAATGAGCTAAGTTCTCTAGACAAAGTACACAAGATGAACTTCTCCTGGCCTACAGGCGAACACATTTTGAAAAAAAAAATCTATCCAACAAGTGCTGGCCAAGCCAGTGACACCCACATCCCACGAATGAATTAAACAAAATGCAACAGAAGTGAAGGAAAGGTAGGGAAAAGGGGAGGGGAAAATGTAGTAGTTAAGAACTATGACTGTGTCCACCACCTGCAGACCTACATGGAGTTGCCCAGGCCATTGAATGAGGTGTGCAAAGACCTGAAGCATGGGGCTGATGTGCAACCAAAAGAACGAGATTTTCAAATAATTGTATTAAACACAAAAGGTGCAACCGCCCAAAGCCAACATATCCATCGTCCATGGATCCTCCAGCATCATGAAAAAAAAAGTTGGGCCGGTAGTTCATGAGCCACTGCAATCTGTGGTTACACACAGAAAAGTTTGGAATTTAGAAGAATGAGATGCAAATCTTAATAGCGACTTGACAAGGCAGATGCAGAAAGGTGGTTTCCTGTTGTGGGAGATTCTAGGATCAGTGGGCATCATCTTATAACGAAGCTTTGCACAGTTAAAACCTAAACGAGGAGGAATTTCTTCTCGCAAAAGGGTAGCGAATCCACACAGGGCTGTTGAGGTTGGGTCATTAAGTGCATTAAAAATCTGTCACTCTCATCCTTGAATCAGTAAGGGAATCAAAGAGTATGGGGAAATGGCAGGAAAGTAGAGTTGAAAATGATCAGATCAGCCATGACCTGGTGGCACAGACTCAATGGATTGATGACCTACTTATGCTCCTACATCTATGGTCTATCATAATGACACCCAAAACTGATTTCAATAGTAATATGTCAAAATATGCAATCCTTCCTCAAAACTGGCATCAAGGGGTGCAATA